CTTGACTTGGACTTGAGCCTTCTGACTTGAGGTGACTTGATACTTTAATTCAGAGGTCTCCAACACGCCAATCGCGAGCTACCGCTAGAAGAGCAGACTCCCGTCGGGGAAAGCAGAATCTTCAGCCGCTCCTACTCTTGCTGAGATTCCTTGCAGGCAGGGGCGGGTCTTTATTTAGCTGGGCCACCATGCGGCCAATCATATGCGAGGACACACTAGGATCATACAATTATGTGAAAGAAGGGTGGGGGGCACAGCATGTGTAGTGGTACAGGCCAGCTGCACAGAGCGACGGGGAGACGGGGAGCCGGATTTAAATGCAAGCGCGTCGGAAAAAGTCAAGAAATGAGCGAAAACCGAAAAAATAAGCAGCATCTGGCTGCTTTTCAATGATATTGGAGAAAGCAAAGCTGAGTGCAGGATTTGTCAAATGAAAATAGGTTTTTTTTTGGTAACCACTCAGGATTTATTGTCAAAGGTGGGAGAAGTTCAGACAATTAAAAAAGTTACAATCAGGGTTCCCGCGGGGTCTTAACAAGTCTTAAAAAGTCTTAAATTTGATAATCTGAATTTAAGGAATTAAAAGGTCTTAAATATGATTTAGAAGGTCTTAAAAATGATGGGATTTGAAAGGTACTTCTGTGTTGCGATAGCGTCTAAATGTGTTTTGGGGGAAATGTCCGGGCTGCAAAGTAACCAGTACGGTAATAGCCTTTCAGTTCCCCCCAACAATTTGTATTGAATTAAATCAACATGGAACCAGTAATCACTAGCTTTGTTTCCCCCGGCCCCTTGTTGGAGAACACCCAGCTAGTAACCTAGCAACCAAGCTTCAGCTCATGTAGCCTATCTTCGAATCTACTTACAAATTAATATGGGGAAGTGTAAGTTCAACCGTATTTGGTTGGAAAACATCTAATTTAGTGCTTGGTTGAAACCAGTGGAGGGGAACGTGTTTGAAGCCCGCTGCATCTTTTGCAAAAGAAATTAGTATTTGTTTTGCTAATGTAGCGTTAGCTAGTGGAGTGTTAGCTAATGTAGCGTTAGCTAGTGCAGCAGCAGCTAATGTAGCGTTAGCTAGTTCAGCAGCAGCTAATGCAGCAGCAGCTAATGTAGCGTTAGCTAGTGGAGCGTTAGCTAGTGCAGCAGCTCCCGCAACAACACCGGGGTACCTCTGGGCGAAGTTTGGGTCGACGTCAACCCTAAAAGCGGAGGTGCTGTAGACGCTAAATACCGTAGCTAAACACCAATCATACAACAGCAACGATGAAATAGTGTAGCCAAGGCAGCAGAGCTCTGAATATAGCTCACTCTCTCTCTCACACACACACACACACACACACACACAAACACACACACACACGGTCTGCTCGATTATGGCAATAATCAAGATTATGTTGGTCAATAATTAATATCATGATTATTAAATACGATTATTCATTGACTTTGAAAACATCCATTTATTGAACTTTAAAACAAATAATAATTTGAACAGTATCTTTTTAACTGTTGATTACCCTGAACCCTGATTCAACTGAAAAACCAATACAAAAATTAATTAAATAAATGATACATTACTAAAAAATTAATTAGATCAAATATGTTGTGGTGCACTGTCACAACCTAGCAAAGCAAAATAATCGTTTTTTTCCGATTATGTTGTTTTCGTAATTGTGGCAGGCGAAAATCGTAATTGCGATTAATGTGCTTAATTGCACAACACACACACACACACACACACACACACACATTTTGTCTAACACGCCAACACAGTTCTGTACTGTTACGCTGTTGTGTTCAGTCACTGTTCTTATGTTGAACATGAATACATTTACTTTGTAAGTGATTATGGGACGTATTTCTTCTTTCCTATACATTTTCCTTCATACTCTATTGCCGTGAAATAGGTCTTAAATTCTATTCAAAGTGGTCTTAAAAAGGTGTTAAAAAGTCTTACATTTGAGTTGGCGAAACCTGCAGGAACCCTGTACAATAAAAAGTCCTGCATTCAAAATGTTACAAGTAAAAGTACAAAAGTATTAGCATCAAAATATACTTAAAGTACCACCTGCAGAGGGATCTAGATTCAGGTGTTCGTTCCCCATAGAGACCGCCTCGCTGCACATTATCCCTTGCATAAAGATAGATTGTGGGTCCCTTATAACATGTTGTACACAGTGGAAATTAACATTCTGGTCACCTCAACATCAGGGATCTTATACATTAAACTCCTTCTGAATCAAACCGTCACGGTAGCCTTATCTTACTGATCCCTCTTAAAATAGAAAAAAACACCTTACTTTACCAGCAGAGAGAAAATGGATTATTAAATTATTAATGTGACTAATAAAGAGTGGTTTGATTATTAAGTATTATTCTGTTGATCGATGTCATTACATTTGGTGAAAAGCACATAAGGACTTGTTTAAGACTCGTTTTGTCAAAGTTTAGGACTTGGACTTGGCTTGAACTTGCCCATCCTGACTTGAGACTTGACTCGGACTTGAGCGCAAAGACTTGAGACTTGACTCGGACTTGCAAAACAATGACTTGGTCCCACCTCTGGTTGATACCATACTTACTATAGGGATGAATACATCATTATTAAAGCTAATTAACTATAGATTCACTATAAGATCACCATAGCCAATAGTATTACTATAGTAATTTTCTATAGTGTGTTCCAAAAAACCATAGAAATAATATAGAAAGCACTATAGTGATTGTAATGGCAATTTCCTTTTCCTATGTCCTATATATTTTTGCCGTTACTTTCACAGAAGGGTTGAAAAGTGATCCAGACGCAGACACAAACAGATGATTTTCCGGTCCTTAGTTGTGGTTTATGATGATGTTTATTCGTCTTTACATACCAGGGTTAATTTAGCGTTCTAGTGATTCTATGAGCATCTGCCGGGCTGGTGGAATCGGTATGCTCTTCTCCTACTGTGTCCCCCCCTCCTGTCACCTATGACCTCCTTATATACACCCGGTGCAGCTAAACCCCGCCACCCAGTGTTCATAAATAATATTGCACTATACATATAACTTAAATAAACTGACACACCAACATCACCCACAAAATGGCTCCTACAGTGATACTACATAAAACTCAATAGTATAACTATAGTACTTTCCTATAGTGGCCGAAAAACCATAGATATACTACAGGAAACACTATAGCAGGGGCGGACTGGCCATCGGGACGAATCCCGATGGGCCGGTACTGAAGTGGGCCGGTCAGACGATGTGGGCCGGCCGGTAACCGGCAGGGCTCGACATTAAATGGCCCGCTGGCCCGGAAGCACTATTTAGACACTGGGCCAGCATAACGTACTTTCCACTTGCCCGCTCGGGCCACTAAAAATATTGCTTTAAAAAAATTGTCCTGTGGTATTGGAATTTTGACTAGCAATTTAGTTAAATTGTTTCGTTTATCAACGCTACAACATAGCGTTCCGTGAGTCGGTTGTCATTGTTGTTGGGTGAAAAGCAAACAGCTGTTTGCTGCAGAGCGCAGCGGGAGCGCGCTCCTTCACTACAGAGTATCGCGCCACCTAACCATTCGCCAAATGTTTTTAATACCAGCAGTAACCGGCCAAGCGCCGTGCAAAAAACAATCTTCAAATAAAAGAAAGTCACCGGAGGAGTTAAAGGAGAGTGACAGGGAGTATGAGAAGAAGAGGGAGAGAAAGTTTCAGCCAGCTTGATCAATGGAGTTGGCTGCAGTGACGCATCCTAAAACCCTTTTATAATCTATCGATTAGATTTATGATTCGAACATTATAAAAGTAGGGTAGACATGTGGAGATTATCCGGCTGAACAAAACGTGCATTTATCAAACAGGTTTGTTTTCCACAGACCTTATTTCCAGCTATTTTCCAAAACCCTTGTCGAGGGAACCAGCAGCTTACTTCCTGGTTTTAGGATGTGTCACTGGCTGCACCTCTCAATATGATGCCATTATAAACAAGGTCTTCTGTCGGCTCTGTACATCAATGCCGACCTATGCTGACAAGTAAGTGAAGAGTAGACAATATAAAAAGGTATTGGCGAAATGTCCCAGCAGTTTAGGATAATGAAGGTTCAGGTTCTAATCAAATCAATTACATAGCCTGACAGGAAGGCAGAAAGTGCATTATACAAATAATAATAATAGCAGACATTTTTTAACAATGACCACAATATCATTATTTTAATAAACCAAATATGAACAATTGAGGAAAATGAGGAAGAACTGATGATTAAAATGTTGTAGTACAAGTAGTAATGTAGTTAGTGCATACATTACTATTGCAACAAATGTGCTAATTTTCTTCATTATTAGTCGATTTTTTTCCCGGGCCAGTGGTTACAATGGTGGGGCCAGTGACAATACAAGTCCACCGGCCCGGAGGTAGACATTATTTACCCTGCGGTGGGCGGGGTACCGAAGTGGGCCGGTCGAGAGTCCCGGGCTGATTTGTAGTCCCAGTCCGCCCCTGCACTATAGTGATACCATACTACACTATAGCGATACCATACTAACACCATACAACACTATAGTGATACCATACAACACTATAGTATAACTGTAACTTCACTATAAGATCACCATAGCCAACTCTATAGTATTACTAAAGTAATTGTGTCCCAAAATACCATAGAAATACTATAGAAGTTTTTTGTGGTATTTCTATAGTAATTCTTAATAGTAATACTATAGTGTTTTTTCGTAAGGGATGTTCCAAACTCACATTGGTTTCTCACAGCATCTCTGTATAGTATGTGTATTCACTCGGTCCTAAACGGCTTGTTGGAGCTCCTGCGCCCCTCCCCCCGCGCGCCCCTGTGAGCCCAATGTGCTCTGATTGGTCAGCTCAAGTACAAACCTTCATAACACACAAGGGGACGGGTAGGTAATAACCAGAAAAGCATGACATGGGACCTTTAATAAAAGTGTGTGATTTAATGCAAAGACTGGTATGTTTTAATTGTAATTGCGGACTAATTGTCCTACCGGAGGATGGTGAGGACTCCCGCAGCCTGTCGCCGTGTATCTGCACCCTGGAGCGGCTGCTGTTAATGGCGCTCTCCCGGAGCCTCCTCTCGGCGTTTCCCCGGGCCATCTTCAGCTCCAGCAGGTGGAGCTTCCTCTTCAGGCCTTTGTTTTCCCTCTGACACTGCGACATCTGTAAACTGACCACCGCATAGTCATCGTCCACCAGCTTACAGATCTCCGCTACTGCTGCGTTAGCGAGGACCTCCATGATGGAGGCCAGCTGAGTCTGGAAGGCCAGGCGGGACATCCTGCTGCGGGCCGGGGCTTTGGGCTGCTCCGAGGCTCTGCACTCACCGGGAAACTCCTGTAGCAGTGTTAGGAGGGGTTGGGGGTTTGATCAAAGCATAACAGCTCCGGTGGAAGAGTATTTAAATGTTGAACTGGTAAAATAAGCGAAGGTAGCCTCTCCTCCTCTGTAAGCAAGCTGCAACCACAAATACATGACGTCATTTCCGTTTTTTCGGGTTTTTTGTTGTTGTTCTTTTTTCATTTTGTGCGGCTGGCAACCAGCGTTAAGGTGCATTATCGCCCCCTACTGTTCTGGAGTGTGAACCAGAATGATCCATTCCATTATCAAACATAACTTAATAAGAAATACATAATTAAGACATTTATAAATTGTCTTGATTAACTCAGTTTGTGTTGAGCGTACAACCATTGTTTTAAGGACGGATTCCAGATGCACAGTAGCTACAAGGTATAGATAGGCCTATTATTGCAAGTCCAGGCTCCTCTAACAAAGCAACTAATTATATACAAGACCTAAAACAATAAAACTAAGTTTAAAAAAAACTGTTAAATGGTGCAAGAAGAAACAGAGTAGAATACTCTGTAGATGTAGGCTAGATGTCGCAGTAGAATACTATAATAATAGTGCAAGATTATCTTGCATGACCAATGTGCAAGTAATGCAGATGAAGTAAACTATATACATATCAAGAAACAAATACAAATGTTGCAGAGAATGTCGTAAGGGACCAAGTAAAGAGTCTATAAACATGTAAATAGAATGAGATAAACAGGATGTTACATGATTGTAGGCCTACTCTGGAGGGGAGTTTGACAGGGTATTACTCAAAAAGTACACGATAAAAGTACTTGATTGTACTTGTGGTCGTACTCCAAGTAGTAGGATAATGGAAGAGCGATAATCGAGGAACCACCAGACCATCCTCCGATGAAATCCTCAGATACTCGCCCCGCCCCCTTACTGTGTATCGCTCACTGATTGGACGATGCAGCCCATGCACTGATCTGATGCTTCTTGACATGAGAGCAGTTTCCCAGCGGAGTGAAGAAAAGACATGAAACTCACGAGAGTCACTCCTCAGTTTATAGCCTACTGTGTTTTGCTTCAATTAATGTATCATTTAATCTGAACAACAAAGTGGTCAAAAATATTTTTATTCATTTATTGGAAACATTTTCATGATCGTTTTTCGTTTAGGCTATACATTTTAAGAATGGCGTTTATCTTTTTTGAGGATGAGTTCTTATTTTATTTTATTTATTTGGGTCTACAACAGATGATACAAATGTTTGTGTCAGTAAATGTGTACTAACAGAGGCGGGGGGGTGTGTGGAAATAACGGGGACAGAGCTGCTAGGCTTGTTTGAGACGCGTTGTGGCTCGCCTCGAAAGTAAACGAGAATAGCCGATCGCAGCCGGGGGAGGTCTCAAAAAGCTCGCCTGAAGTCGGACAGCTCGGAGTTTTTTGATTGATTGATTGAAAAGTTTATTAACAGCTTGTATATTGGGTACAGTACAGTACAGCTCAAAACATACAATTGTTAAGGGGATGCAGACCAGAGAAAGACTTTCGTCTTGTTTACATCAGGGTCCCCCATTTCCAATTCATCATATCATTTAAGACATATAAGACATATTTGACATACAGATGGCTTATTTACAATTTACATACAGGTGGTTTTTTACATACAGATTGCTTATTTACAATTTTAATTTTAGATTTCGTTCAAATACATCCTAACCGGACATTTAAGACATACCAAGTCTACAGATATACAGTTAGTAACAGAGTCTAAAATGTGAGTATATACATAGATAGGGGGGGGAAAGCTGTCCATTGAACGACAGGTTGAGATTTGTACCATTACCGGGGCCAGTTTTGCAATGCTCTCCCCCGAAGGTGCTCTTTAAGAGAGGTTTTGAAGGTAAGTATAGTTTTACTTTCCTTTACAGTTGTGGGAAGAGCGTTCCACCTTGATGTGGCATAATTGCGAAACGTGTATTCCCCCTTTTTTGTGCCAAATCTGGGTTTCACATGATTTGTGGAGCTCCCTCTGGTGTTATGATCATGGTATTCCTTGACCTTTGGGAAGAATTTTGACATGTACATGGGTACCATAGAGGTGTAGTGGATCTTGTAGACCAGGCCCATTGCAAGTAGCTGTACTCTGTCGTCTACTCTAAGCCATCTAAGTCGGCTTCTTCTTCTTCTTCTTCTTCTTCTTCTTCTTCTTCTTCTTCTTCTTCTTCTTCTTCTTCTTCTTCGCCTTCGCCTTCGCCTTCTTCTTCGCCTTCTTCTTCGCCTTCTTCTTCTTCTTCTCTCGGTTATTGGGCGGATTGCAAACAACTTTAAGGTGCATACCGCCACCTCCGGAGTCGGCTTGACTCGGTTTGCATTTATAAAAAATGCACACATTTAGTGCTGCGTACCTGGACTCACATTCAGGTTCAGGTCCGGACTCAAGTCCAGAAGTTCAGGTTCAGGTCTGGACTTATAAGTCCGGACCTGAACCCATGGCTTGTGTCAAATTGTGTGAGTAACTAAAGTGAACCTATTGTGAGCTAATTATCAATTGAAAATTAACTCATAATCAACTCAAATTCAAACTCATCAGGTTTATTGTGCTCCCTTCCAACTTGTGTCTACATTTCTCTACAAAGTACAAATGTAAAAAAAACACTTTTTGCCACTTAGTCTACAAATGACTTATGACAGCAACTACAGTGAACTACTACAAAGTTCAAACATTTATTTCATTTACCAAACTAAAGTAACCAAACAGTCCCTGAGCTGACTGAGCCTAAATCCCTAAAACGTTGCTGAAAGGAAGAGTGTAGAGTAGACTATACGCATTACACTGTTACACACCTACTATACAGTATAGGCTACACTGTAGTGACTGTACAGTCAGAGTGTACTATACTGTACACCATGTATTTTCTACAACTCTACATGTGTACATTATACAGTACATACTACATACATAGTGATGTACATACATACTGTTAGAAATTAAAATCAATGTTGATATGGCGTAATTTTGAATTAAATACACTATTTAATTTAAATCAGTTTTATTCTGAAAAAAACGGAAGTTCACACTATTAATTTAATATTTTTATTCTGAAAATTCTTCACTTCCAGTTAGCATTAGCATGTGGCGAAATGCTACGTTTTCAAACCGTGAATCGAAGGTGAAATGACATGTGATGTTGTACACTGAGCACACTGGGATTAGCACTCATTTATTGACGCTGAATAATGTGTATCAAGGAATGTTTAAATAACCACAGACACCAGAATATACGTAAGTGCTAGTTTTTTTGCGAGTCCAAGTACCGGTTCCCGACGTTCCGGTTTTAACCGGACTTGAACCGAAACTTTTTACAAGTCCAGTTCCGGTTCGGCGTACCGGTACGCAGCACTACACACATGTGTTTAATCGTTAATGTCAGATATGTACTAAGTAAATACATTTGTTCCTGCTCAAGATTAGATTCAACTTTATTGTTATTGCACATATTACAGGTACTGAGACAACGAAATGCAGTTTAGCTTCTAACCAGGTGCAACAAGCAGTAAAGTGAAAAGTAATGTACACAATCTACAGAATAAAATATAGAATGAATTGAATGATGAATAAACAGTGAGGGGTATGAATACACTAGATATACACAGCAGCCTGAGAGCAGTATGAACAGTGTGTATGAATATGCTAAGATATATAAAGTATGAAACGGTAAGCAGTGCAAGTATAGTATAAAATATGGATATTAATTTCATGAATAAAACATTGTGGAACAATGATGAAAAATGGGAATGGATGTGGCGACGTAAAACTGACACAAAACAACAACAAACTTTTGCCAAGGCCAATTGGAGAGTTTCATCACCAGCACGTGGTAAAAACCACCAATGAGCACTCAGCTCGAGATACCAGCGAGTCGTTTCCCATCAAGCATTTCGCTTCCGCAGCCCGTGGAGAGCAACTGCGCCGCCTCGCCGCGCCTCGCTCTCAAGGCTGCGGGCGTCTTTGTCCCGCGAGATTTCAACGTCTCATGTAGGCGGGCCTCCAGAGCAAGTCGGACAAAATGACTAACCATCATGCAACGCACTAGCAAGAAGTTGATCGCAACTGCGCAGGTCTGCGCCAAGCCCCCAGGAAGTGCGCCGGACTCAGATGAAAATATTCGTGCTGGCCAAACGGCGGTACTACACTTCCGTTTGGTTGCCAGGCCCGGAAACACTTTTTCCCATTGACTTACATGGGGAAAGAGTGGTCTCGTTGGATAATTTTTTTAAAACTAAATAAACTACCCAGTATGAACACTTGTATAGCCCTTATTAAAAACATTCGTTCCTCAAGTTGTAAAAATGTGCTAATAACGTTATTCTGAGAGTTATTTCCCTCTGCATTATGAACGCGCATCTAACCCACGGGACCGCGCCGCCCGGCACGTTCATGTTACGTGTCCCGACCAATCAGAGCACACTGTGCTCACAGGGAGGGTGGGGCTGGAGCTATTGGAGCTACAACGAGCCATTAAAGGTAGAGAGTGAAATTCAGTGAATACAATACACGTAGTTTACAGAGATGCTGTATGAGAAACCAATGTGAGTTGCGTTTATCTTTACCCATGGATAAGAACGGATCCATATCGTCTTACTGCCATCCCACGGAGCTGTAATAATGGATATATTGCACATGTTTGCTGTAATTCATTATCATACTACATGGGCTGTATGATTAAATCTTGTACCGTAAATGTTGTATTAAATAAAGTTAATATTACCGACATTATAATGTCAAAAATAAAAAACAACACGAGGAACTCCATGTTCGTGAAGGAGTTGGCTGTGGCGTTTTGGGGCACCGACACCTTAGGGGAAAGGAGCCTGACTGGAAAGGAATGCCCCACCACCAAGACCACCAGGCAGCCTCTAACAAGTAATAACTATTCTGTTTACAGTTCTGTCATCACATAATTGAATACGATTTGTTAAAACATTGTTGTTTCTTATTTTCAGTTTGCTTCAAGCAGTGGCTGTACGAGAAATACGTGGAGGACCAAGAAATGCTGGCCGGATTGGCAAAGACCGGAAGATACATAACAGAGAAGATAATGGATATTAACAAGAAAAAAATATATACTTTAAAAAAGAATGTTTATAATTTATTTGTTGCTATTTACATGTTGAATTATATTTGTTATTTCTAAATCAAATGCATCTATTATAGATGATATATTTATTTAGACGTAGGTTTTTTTTGTAATATTATTGTATTGTTAATGTATAATTTATTAAATAAAAATACTGTTATGAACACTATACAATGTCTTTATTTTGATAGTTACCAGAATACATTGTATATTTAATAACATAAGCTGGTGATAGATAAATTCTGGTCTGCATGGTCCACCAGCTTGGACCAGCATGGACCAGCATGGTTCACCAGATGGTCCATGCTGGTGGACCATGCTGGTCCATGCTGGTGGACCATGCTGGTCCAAGCTGGTCCATGCTGGTCCATGCTGGTGACCAAAACACAACACCATGCTGGTCCATGCTGGTCAACACCATGCTGGTCCAAGCTGGTTTTTTCAGCAGGGTGGTCCGCCATATTGGACAACTCTGGACGGCAACCCAAGTAGGACAACATTGACACAGTGGCTTTGGGCAAAGCTCAAAATAAAACTCGAGAGAAATGAGTTATTGTTATTACAACGTGACTTCACTATTATTTAACAACTCTTTTTATGGGGTTCTTTTATTTGGGGTTAAGTACATTGTCAGAATAAGTGAGAAATAGATGTAACTTCTGTTAGACAGCCATCATACTGAATAAATATTTACTGTGAATGTGTGCAAACATGTATGGCATATAGCTGTCTAACAGAAGTTAAATTCATTCCTCACTTATTCTGACAATATACTTAACCCCAAATAAAAGAACCCAATAAAAAGAGTTGTTAAATAATAGTGAAGTCACGTTGTAATAACAATAACTCATCTCTCTCGAGTTTTCCTTTTGAGCTTTGCCAAAAGCCACTGTGTCAATGTTGTCCTACTTGGATTGCCGTCCAGAGTTGTCCAATATGGCGGACCATCTCGCACATGCGCACTGCAGATCGGGCAGAGCTGCAGATCTATGGAATGCCATTTAAGCCAATATTAAATAAATAAATATATACATAAATAATTAAATAAATACATATATATATATAAATATGCCTATGAAATAAATTATAAAATAAATAAATTAGGCAATAAATATGTATACATGTACATTTAAATACACATTTATTTATTTCATGGGGCTTTTATTTCATAATGACACATTTATGTATTTCAAGAGACTTGTATTTCATAATGACACATTTATTTATTTCAAGAGACTTGTATTTCATAATGACACATTTATTTATTTAAAGAGACTCATATTTCATAATGACATATTTATTTATTTCAGATGACTTGTATTTCATAATGACGCGTTTCTTTATTTCAAGAGACTCGTATTTCATAATGGCTTATTTCATGTGACTTGTATTTCATGATGGTTTATTTCATGTGACTTGTATTTCATGATGAGACATTTCCATTCCTTATATGCAAATGAACGGGGCGTGGTTAGCTCACAGGTCCAGAGACCCAGACCAAAGCAACAGCACCACACTGACTACTCGAGAAGAGGAAGAAAATGGAGGAGAAGGACTATAAGGCAAACTACTAAATGAAAATAACAACATGGAAGACGTCGGTGGGCTCCAAGACTTAACTGGTTCTTATTTGGTCTTCTCTGGTCTTATCTGGTCCGCCAAATGCTGCTCTTCTGAGAGCAACCGCTCTGACAGCTCTCTCTAGTCTCTACTGGGAAACAGCTAAAAGTCCTTCTGGAGGTAAGCAACGCTACACAATTACACCCAGTCTGAGAGTAAAATATGTCTCTAAGGTTCGTTTTGCTTTCTTACAACGTTAAGTTAATGTTAACGTAACCTTACGTTTGCTAGGAGGCTATCGTTACGAGTTAGCTGTCTTAGCTAACAACAGTTAGCAGCTAACGTTTTCTGCAGTTTGTGTTGCCCCTGAAAAACGTGATGTAGTTATTTAAGGGTATGTTAAATTAACGTTATTTTACAAGTTGAGAGAGTTAAGTTGTGTTTAAAATCGTCAATGTAATGCACGTTAGAGGTTTTGTGTTGGACATGAAGTTAGCTAACTCCACCAGGTTAGCATGTTAAGCTGTACTTTTTGTGTCAGCTAGCTTAATACAAAGAGGGGTTTTGTGCTTCATTGCAAACTTTTCTTTGTTAATCTACCTGAAACTGTAGGGACAGTTTGTTTCTACTCAACTATACAGACCATTGTTGAGGAGATGCAAAACATACTGTACATGAGTTGGGTCCAACATATACCTTGAGTAATGTTACTTTGCTGCTAAAAATGAAACATCATTATCAGATGAGGACATCACCAAAGTGTGTGAGCCTGTCAGGGGATTTGATCTGTTCTCTGCATGTCCTAAACACTGCTCTGGTATTACTTATCTTGTAACATGTAAGTCTCCCGCTCTTGTCATCTTTCAGGCTTTGCATTTGAACTCCTATGACTGGTTGCGGACTTGAAGGGAACGCCTTCCTGACATCCAGGAAAAAGGTGAGATTATAATACATTTGAATGCCAAAAGCAAGTTATTGTTTTTAACTTTTGAAATATGATTGTTTTGGGGCATTTCAGTTTTATTGGACAGGCAGTAGAGATCTACTGGAAACAGTGGAGAGGGAGGAGATGATATGCAGCATACGGCCCAGCCGGATGGTTGCTGCTCCGTGTGGAACGTGTCCTATCAGGTAAAGCACTTTGGTACCCAGTTATTTATGGTGTTGAGTTTGAATTTAGCTTTTGGAATGTAATTTCCAACTGTGCATTGTAAAGACTGAAAAAACAGCCTCAGGTTAAAGCTTGACATGATTTGGTCTTTTACTTAAGAAGATGTTTGTCCTCCTGTGTTGTCTTATTTCCTTATCTTTCTTTCAGGTGTAACATCTACCAATAATGTACATGACAGAGACCTCCTCCGCCTCTTTGCTGTCTTACTAGTCAATCCTTCTGATCAGGTCCTTTCCTAAATAGTGGTAAGTTTTACAGTTCAGTGTACGTTAATTTAGTAACTTAATGCTTTACCGCTGTTGAATAAATCCTATATTGCTAGTCATTTTATTAAAACTACGATTTGTAAACTTTTTGATTCCAATTACAATAATCTTTTTGTTATAATTGTAAAACATATCTTAACATCCATCAGCAATCAATACAACAAATCATCCAACACTAAATAGAAGAAATCTGGACCTATTTATTTTTATACAGCAGCATGTTTTGGGACTGCTCATTGATGTCATCAAGAGCCATTGAGTCTACCTTTTGTAGTCGGCCTCTCAGAATGTTTATCATTTATTTGTATTTTAACATTCCTATAATAATGAGTTTTTTTATTGTTTTGTTCTTTATTTTTGTTGTGAGAATCACTTTGCAATTATTGTGTAAGTGCTATATAAATAGTTATACTAATATTATTGTTGTTACTATTATTAATAATGTCTTCTTTGTTTTCTTTATTCATCGCTGCAGAAAGGATCATGCCAGCCCACATCAAACACCTGATCAAGAGCTTGTGAACCTCACTGCTGCAGACACCTGTGTGATATTCCACTCTGACTGGAACCCTCAAAATGACCTGCAGGTACAATATATATATATTAGGGGTGTAACGGTATCCGTATTCGTCCCGTACCGTCACGGTTCGGATGTCACGGTTCGGACGTCACGGTTCGGCACATGCAGTCACACGGCGAATACGCCTTTTTTTACGAGTGGGAAAGTCTGTCACTCAGGGCAGTATTACACTATATATAATCCAGGGGGCGGTATTGCGCCTAAAAGCCAGCCGCCCGTAAATAACAAATGAAGAACAAGAACAAAACACAACAAAACGAACACAATATATGAAGAACAAAAGTTAGTAGCTATGGCGAGTTCACACAACACACAGGAGCTAGAAGACCCACCTGCTTCTTTTAAATCAGGTGTGTGGGAACATTTCGGGTTCCCTATGGACTACAATAATGATGGGGTGCGAGTTGTGGATCGGACAAGGACGGTGTGTCGGCGTTGTTCGACAGTGGTGCGGTATGCTAGTGGTAACACGTCAAACATGCTCAATCACATCCGAGTCAGTCTCAGTCCCCAGCGAGAGGGTTTTCTCGACGGCAGGTGACATAGTTACCGCCAACAGATCTGCCCTCACTACTTACAACGTAGACAAACTCATCTTCTTGAAGAAAAACTTGAAAATAGAGTAAAGCATGAGTACCTTTATTTAGGCATAATGGCCTCACACACTCACAAGTTAATTACACATGTTAGACATTGCTCCTAAAGGTACAGATTTTATTTAGTTTTATATTTATCATTGTATTTATTTTATATTTTGACATCAGGAGATGTTATACAGTTCTGTATTGCCTTTTATTGATTGTGATTGAAACACTTTCTTATTATTTATTTTAATATTTTCAAGACATTCTTTTTAGTTGTACAGCTTATTTAACCTTTTTGTTTGACATCAGCCAATATAAATAATATGGCCATCTAAGTGTGTGTGTTACTGTTTGTGGTTTGTTTTTAACTGTGTAATACAGTTAATGATTCCAAATGTTAGAGTTCCTTATTTTCATACCAAAAATTGCACTACTGTTAAAAATAAATAACAGCAAAAAAAATTATGCATTTGGGACTTTTTTTTGCTTTTCCTTGTTGTACCGAACCCGTACCGAACCGTGACCCCCAAACCGAGGTACGAACCGAACCGTGACTTCTGTGAACCGTTACACCCCTAATATATATATATATATATATATATATCTGCTCTGTCCGTCCTAAAGATAGTTCAATAGGGCTACAACAACAACAGTCTTTCCGTTTATTCCCTCGGTTCTTTAAGTGTATATTTTCCCATTTAATGCTTAAAAACGTTGAACAGCAGCTGCACATGATGCTCTTTTGACCCCTCTTTTAATTTTGTATTTCAGGCTCAAGCTCGGTGTCATCGTTTTGGCCAGTCTAAGGCGGTGGAGGTGTAC